CCCCGCAGGCTCCCCTAAACACCATCGACGCTCCCGTGGTCTCAGAGGCACTCCCCCAGCTCCGATAGACCCCTGCGCGAACGCGTCAATCAACTTCAGGGGCGTTCAGTGAACGTGTGTTCACAGCGTTCAAAAACTGAACGCGGAACGCATGTTCAATGAACGCGCGGTAACATAGCCCTCTGGAGATCTTTCTCACTGGGTGGGGTCAAGTGTGGACAGACCCTTTCCCACTTGTCCATCAGATGTTTGCCTATTGACCGCTCTCTTTCATGATGTCTGTGAATTATCGCATCCTCCCCTTTTACCAGGTCCCACCATTCTTCCTCGTTCACCTTCCAACCCCAAGTTGCCTTGTCAATACGCAAATCTTCAATGGCTGTTCCGTCGTCTACCAGTCTCCATCCACTTTGATTCCCCGACTCCACCCTTATGGGTTTCAAGTCTGTGAGGCCATACCTGTTACACTCTCTCACTTTCTTGAGTAAAGGAAGCCCTGGGAGAGATCTGCTTAAGATAATCACTCTGCATTTTCCTGGGATCTCCTCCTCTCATTCCTCCAATCTGATAAACAACTCTTCTCTTTCTCCGTGCTCTGCTACCCATTCCTTAAACCAGCTACCATTCGCTGGGATCCAACTCCCACTCAACAGTTCACACCACTCCGGAGGAATGGCCTTAATCAAATTAAGCCTCTTTTCCTCTTGATTTCCCAGTTGTCCCAGCGACTCCTTCAACTTCTCTTCTGACTTCCATTGACCTGTCAACTGGTCCCACAGATCTCCCACCCTTGAAACACCCCTCTTTATCCACTTCATACGGAATGATCCTACGCTAGTGTTGGCACTGAATGTCTCACCGTCCTCAACTCGAATCCACGGGTTCTCAAAAAGGTGTTGCCTAAGAACCTCTGCCCTGTTGACTGGCTGTGCTGTCAGGTCTGGCTTTCCTTTCTGCCATGCAGTTAAGATGTCTTTCCAAAATCTCGACTTGGATCTCTTGCACAGGAAGGCATGAATCATGATGGCCACCCCGACGTCCTCTGAACGCGACAGCCCCCATTGTTCGCTCAATAATTCCTCTGCCAAAATACACCAATCTTCCTGTAGGTTTGTCGTTGCCACTTTCAGGGTCCATTTTGAGAGGAGCTTGAGGTTCTGAGAGTTTAGGTCCAACAACGCCAGGCCCCCGAGTCCCTTGGGATCGCACAATGTATCCTAGGCCACCTTCGCTATATAGCCTTTTTCCGCTTCAGACTCGGGCTTCCATATGAATCTTCGTGCCGCTGCTCTTGTCCCTTTAACCAATGGTTTAGACAACCTCCTGACCTTTGCAACGTACCAGAGAATGGAGAATGTGGAGACTGTTACTGCCAACACTCTTCCAATTAACGATAAGTGCGGGGCCGGACCCCAACTGCGAATCCTCTTAGTGACTCTCTCTTGTAGGATTGTTGACTGAGACTCTGTGCAGTCTTCGAGTGCCAACTGTACTCCCAAGTATCTTTCTGCTTCTCCCACCTGCACTCTCCGCATACCCCACTCCGAGTTGACACGATCGTAGGCCTTCTCCATATCCAACATGAGAACTGAGACATCCTGGTTTCTGTTTCCAATAACTGTTACTGCCTTGATTGAAGTGGCCGGGTTGTCAAAGATTGATCAGAACTTAACAAATGCTCCTTGGTCTAAACCTACTAGGCTTGGTAGATGGACTGTTAGTCCGTTCGCCATAGTTTTGGCCAATAATTTATATGAAAAGTTTAGCAGAGACATTGGCCGCCAGTTCCTGATCTCACTCCGGTCGCCCTTCTTGTAGAGCAAGGTTATGATGCCCCGCGTCATGGTAGGTCCTAGCCTCTCCCCATTTAGAACTTCGTTATACAACGCCGCCAACTCCTCCGCCACTACCTCCCACACTGCTCTGTAGAACTCCATCGCTAGTCCATCGTCACCCGATGACTTTCCGTTGGCCACAGTTGTCATGGTATGAGATAGTTCCTCGACCGAAATCGGTTTGTCCAATGTTTCTTTAGCTTCTTTAGACAACTCAACCTCCAAGGAGTTCCAGACTTCTGAGTGCAAAGATAAGTCTGCTTCCGGGTCTCCGAAACTGCTCCACAAGAGGTTAACGGGGCATCTGGTTTTTAGGCCTGAAATTTCTGAAATTAGGGTTTTGGGCTCAAATTTCATGTTTTTTTAACCCGAAATTTCATATACGGCAACCCTATTAACCTGCTCTCCGAAACTGGAACGAGAAGTCGGGATGTCCTGGAAATAAGCCTGTGCATACTCACACAGCTCATCACAGGCTGTAGCTGGTGGGAGAGACGCAAAGTGCGGGTGGGCCAGCTCCTTCAATTGTACCGACTTCCTTTTTGGCAGAAGCTTCTGGAAAGTTTCCTTGCACAAACGGTCCCCTGTAACAGTCTTCTTTTCCAACAGGATCTGTTCCCAGCGACTGTGTTTTTCCTGCTGCATCCGTTCCCAGTTTTGCAGTCTGACCACTCTTTCTTCCGCCCAAACCAACTCTGAGATCGGATGTTCAGACATCCTCCTTTCCACGTCATCCAACCTCCTTCTATAGTCCCCTTCTTCCTTGTTTCTTAGGAACGCTGCTATCACTGAGAAAACTTTCATCTTGCTAGAGATAATCTTTATCCCAGCATCCAACCATTCTGCTCTCGAGGCAAAGAAGGTTTTTGCTTCATCCCAATCATTCCAAAAACTTCTCACCCAGTCCAATACTCCCTCATCTTCCAGTAGGGAAGTATTGAGCCTAAAGCATCCCGACCCTCTACAACCTGTTATTCCCACACTTGTTGTCATCACAACAGGCTTATGATCCGACGTAGACCCGTTTGTTTCCCGGACCATATGGACGTTAGCTGCTACTCCTTCTGAAACCAGGAAGAAGTCAAGGCGTCTCTTCACACCTGCTGACTGAGGTGTCCTTCCAAACCATGTGAACCCGTGTTGGAGCGGATTAATCTCCCTATAAATATCGTGCAAGCCCCACTTTTTTATCCACAGCAACAGAGTTTTCCTGTCTCTTTGTAATCCTTCTTCCCTTTCAGAATCCAGGCAAGGAGTGCAGACCAGGTTCCAATCCCCCCCTATGACCAGGTGTTCCGTCTTTGGCCGTTTCCTTGGGAGCAGTCCAATGAACTCAATCCCGTCGAGAGGATCATTTGGAGCGTATATAGTGGCGAAGACCTATTCCTCCTCTTCAATAACCACTTTGACCCAGCACCAGCGCCCCCACATATCACAATCTGAATCTAGTGGCGTGCAGTCCAATCGGTCATGAAACAGAATTGCAACTCCGCCTCTACTACCTTAGGCTGGGGACCACAGCTGTGGGCCGGCCCACCAGTGGTTCAGCTGACTCAGCTTCTCTGTCGAAAGCTTCGTCTCTTGAATGAAAATGACATCCAGTTTCATCTCATGTATCCATGACTTCAATCTTTTCCCTTTCTGCTTGCCCCCCGTGTCTCCCAGTCCCTGGACGTTTCAGGTTGCCACCTTAATTTTCCCCATTAGGCTGATGCTGAGAGGCCATTCCTTGGATATGCCCGGACGTCATGATCGCTTCAGGCCACTTGCTGCTCAACACCTCTGCATAGAATGTTGATGACAAATTTCTCCGCTTCTGAAGTTGGCCATTTAGTTGCAATAGGATGCTTGCAATCATTCCTGGATCGATCGAGATATGCTTTAACTCTTCATGTGGGTCAGCCAATAGGAGCCGCAGTGGAATTCCTACCAGCTCCACGCTCCCAATGTTGTTCCACATTTCCGGAGATAGCCTAGCATCCACAAACGGAATTGAATACCTCGCCTTACCTCCTTCAGGCATGTCCACCACCAGGCGAGCAGGGGCATTTTCTGGAAATAACAGAAACAGGAAACGTTCGGCAAATAACTGTCGTACTTTCATTATCACGAACAGGGCCGATGGGATTTCCAGGATATGGTTGGCTGGCATATATAGTTTGTCGTCCGTAGATCTGAGTCCCAAGACGAAAATCTCTTGTCTCTGAAGTGTGCAGACCAATGGTAAAATCAAATGGTCCATCATTTGTTGGTCTTCTCCCATTAAACTGACAACTCCGTCATGAATGTTAAGGGGAGAGTCACCCACAATTTCTTCCCCCACCATTCCTTCGTCCCTTCCTGTTCTTGATCTTCTTCTGCTGTCTGTCCATTATTCTCATCACCTCCCATGCACATCACTAACTCCTTTCCTTATGATCTTCAAACGCAGTCTCCTCGCATTCTCCTATCCTTCAACTGCTGCCTTCCTTGATCTTCGTCTGCCCCGCTTACGTCTCCACGTACTTCCTGTACCACCACTAGATCTCTGGTTAATTCTTGTCCACGTGCCTGTCCTGGATTTTGCAAGTTTTGCAAGTTCTCTGGAGTAGGCGTCTGTCCCAGCATCTCTGCGGAGAGGATTTCTGTTGCCGCCAAGATGGATGATTGCCAAGCCTGCTCCCCCATGGCATTCCAGATCCCTTGATAATTTTGTATTCCTGGGATTCCTGGTCCAAAACCTTGGTGATCTGTCGCTACCATACTTGGTATGTAAGGAACAAATCCTGCCCCTGAAGGACCAGCTTGGTATCCTGGGACCGCTGGCATGCCTTGCTGCTGTAGAACCCCATTCATTTGTTGGTGCGCCATCAGTCCCTGAGGCTGCTGCAACCAGGTTCTCCTGTCATGACCCATTCTCCCTGAACCTCGGGGCACCTGTGCTCTAGAGGCAGCTCGAATGGACGATTCCGCCATCGTATGTCGTGGAATTTCCACAGGCAGATCCTTCGCTGCTTCCTTGATTCCACCCAATATGCTTGAAGGAAGCTGCTGTCTGTTCCTCTGAGGAAAGTTATCTCCTGTATCTCCCTCTGCATCCCATCCCTCCTGTTGTTGAACCAATTTAGGACAACCATCCGTCGCCGTGTGGTTCCACCACTTGCATCTGTCACACCAGGGCGTGTGCTTACATACTAGCTCCACATTAATATTCTCCCCGTCATCTAGCCGCAGCGGGAGCAGAGGAGCAAAACCTCCCTCCGCCTCTGGAGCCAACTCAAATTTCATATTCATCAGTTTAGGCCGTGTAGGATCAGGCTGAGGTGGGATTGCGTTAATGATCTTTCCCATGCTTTGCTCGATAGCATCCGCAATTGGGAACATGGCTCTTAGCGGAACACAGAAGGCCATCACCCAAAACTTGGATGCGTCCTCCGGTCTCCTCCTCTCCTCAAGCTCTCGACATGTCATCCAAGGTGTAAACAACATTTTATATGCTGTTCCTCGGATCATAATACTGTCCTCTCCTTTGTTGATCAGCCACTGTGCAATTTCCCCCTGTCATCGCCACGTAGGAAGTTACGTTCAGTCCTTTAGAATGAACCCTCCCTCTCTTTAACGTTCTTGAGAAAGTGCGTGCTCTGATCCATCCATTCTCATATGCCCGTATTAGATCTTCCCTGACTTTCGCACGTAACGAACGTGCTTCAACTTGAAAAATCACTGTCACAGTCCTCTCCTTCAACGATCTGGTTGTAAGCTCCCCCACTTGCTTATCCACCACGAACACCTGCACTCCATTTTCATAGACAAACTTGCCTTGTTTCAACCTTTATGGAAAGATACCTTCCTCATAGCATTTGGCGATTAAAAAACGCACTCGGTCTTCTTCTGAAATCGGAATGTCTCCTTGACCCGGGGGGGAACGATCTTCCCTCCTACCTTCTCTCCCGACTCCATTTCGACGCGATGCCATTTCGACCCGATGCCATTCGCGCTCACTCTGTGAGCGTCCTTCCTTGCTTTGGTTGTTACTCTCCTTCCCCTGTCAATAGTAAACACACCGAAACCTCTGATCTTCCTCTTCTGCCTGACGGCTTGTTGCGCAGATGGTCGACGTAGTCTTGCTCTGGGTTACTCTGACATGTAGGCACTGGTTAAGGTCTTCTCCTACCGAGGCTATAGAGATTGTGTTGGAGCCCCAAAAGAGTACTGCAACCCTCAACCGACCCAATTGTCTCAATCCCTCGCCCTATCCTCATTCTATCCCGCAACTAACCTGGAAAAACCAAGGGAGGAGATCGGTAAACTCATTCTTTCGAATACAAAGAGCAATACCTTTGCTATACAGCAGTGCTTGAACTCTAATAAATAAACTTCTCCAGCTTCTACGGACTTTCCTGGTGCAAGTTTACGATCGTTTTCGAAATCTAATGGTAGAGTACTCCCCCGATGGCGTCCTCATCCCAGTTACTCCGGGCGCTGTTTACACTCCAGAAACCTCCAATTGCTCTAATACCATGACTTTCTCTGCCAAGCGATCAGAACCGGTCCCTCCTCTTAACCCTGCCTGACGTGACATTGATTGATCTACTTACTACTTTGCTTCGCTGACTTAAAAGCTATTACCAGCTAAGTCTTCTGATTAGTTTCCTCTTCTTCCTCAGAACTCACCTACTATTACCTTCTAGCTTCGCATTTGTCACTCGTTATACCATCTGGACGACGAACGCCCCATGGGCGTACGCCTACACACATAGCACACGTAGGTCTCGTTATGCACGACATACTGCTCCCAAGGCTGGCTTACCATCGCCAGTCTCCCTCCCCAACCAAAGGGAGGGGGGGTTGCTCGGAATTTACCGAGCGAGACGGCGATGGAAATTTCCGCGGCGACTATTTGGGTGGTAGCGCCTCAGTAAACCCGTCGGCCACTACAGCCGAAGGCGCCTGCCTTAGAACGCGAAATGCGTCAACTGTTGCGCCCCTCGGGCCTAGAGGCTTCGGGTAGTGCATGTGCTTGCGACAACCGGCCCTCCTTCGCAACGCGGATTAGCGCAGCGTTAGCGCTACCGGAAGGCTTGCGGCCCCCCACCAGCATTGAATTGTGAATGATAGACGGCGGTGTCGGTGCGAATACCCTTACAAGGATATCCGCCCTGGTTTTTGCAAGTAACAGGAAATGATTTTGGTCTAGAGTTTAAGTATACCGCGCTAGGCGCGGCTGCGTCTGTAATTTACGTTGAACAGGATGCTTGACTAGCGTAGAGAGTGTGTGGGCGCGCAGGTTTAAGGCACGCGTGATTCCTATCTGCTGTTGATCATCGGTTGTTTGTTTAAAGGTATTATTAATATCTATTTATATAAGCAGGAACCAGGGATACTTTCGGTTGATTGGTACGCTTGATTGAGGCGAGCGCGCGTGCGGGGAAACGACCCCGGCGACGGCATCTGCAATAAGGGCGCGATTTTGTGCGGTGAGCAGGATGTCATAGGATGGCGCGCGGGGCAATTATGGCATGGTATAAACAAGTCGACACGGGCACTGGGAGCCGCGCAGCCGGTTTGTTGGCCCAAAGCATCGCGCCGCGCTGCCTATATGGTATTCTGCGGGATTCAGTCCCAGGCTTGGGCTTAGCCCTATAGGTTACGGCATTGGGTTGCGCTACGAAGGTTTGGGGACCGAGGCCAGCAGGCGTCGGCGGAGCAACTGCAGTGGAGCGTCGCGGAAGGGACCGACAGGGTTGAGGGCCGTCAGGGCTACCCCCCCTCGGTTTTGCTTACGGGCGCGGCAGCAGGCCCGACCCG